ACCAACACCTCAGGTCCTTTTCTGCTGTGCTGCTCCCCACCAGCTCAGTCCCCAGCCTATACTGGTCCATGGGGTTGTTCTTCCCCAGATTCAAGACCCTACACTTGCCCCTGTTGAATTTCATTAAATTCAACAGGATGAGGCTGTTGGTGCTGTGTTTGTGTGAATGCTCTGACTGCCAGTCTGTGATCCACGTGGCCAGCTGTGTTTATACGTATATACATAGTGTGTATGTGTTTTCGGTGTGCGTGCCCCTACTGGAATACATCTTCAGCCTTGCTGCTGGTTGGACCTGGGGACATAGAGTGGCAGCAGCCTCACCTCTCTTGGACTGTTGGATCCAGCTTAAAGCTGTATTTTCCTCTAAGAAAGTCCTTCTCAGACATCATGCTTAACAGACTTTTCCCAGTGGGAATCTAGATTTAAAGGCCTCTCAAAAATGATGACAGGATGGGACTGACTGGTAAGAAACATCAAGATTTAAGTGCAAGCAGGTATGGCAAGAGTAGGGGAAAGTAAAGAGAAGAAGACAAGAGAATTCACTAAGTGTGTGCAAGAATGGCAGGGTACCTGGGGGATTAGGATTTTGCAAAACAGGATAAGAGAAAGTACCTCATATAATTTATTTCGATATTCTGCCACAGACAGCTGGATATCATCACCTAAAGGAAGAATCACATCATAATCCAGAGAGGGCTCCCTGGCAGGACAGTGAAACCTAAGATGATAACACATAATGCAATTCACTAAGACTAAAACCAGCACCACACATCACTATAACGTTAAAAAGGGTTGTTACATCACCTAGTGTGACCTCTAGTGTAAATAGGGCTACAGAAAACGAAGAATTAGCTTTTCCTTTCATTTTCTTGCACGCATATAAAGAAAAACTTGTGCCAAGAGCGGGTCTGAAACATCTCAGAAGGCACTGGGGGAAACTGCTGAAAATCACTACTCCCCTCACCTTTTCACGTAAGGATGCTGCAGAGCCTCCTCTGCTGTGAGTCGTTTATGAGGGTTAAATACCAAGAGTTTCTTCAGAAGATCCAAGGCAGACGATGGAGTAGAGGGTGGTAAAATCTCCTCCAACGTTACTCGCTGCCTACAGGTCAGAAAACAGCGAGGTGAGCTCCCAGTGCTTCACTCACAGTGGAGGTAGGAATTACAGCTCTGGGAATCACATCAAGGTGACACCAGACTCCAAAGTTCACCCAAAAAATGTGTCATGATCCTGGAACACTCTAAAGTACAGGCCTGTGAGTGTGGTGAGGTCTTTTACCCCCTTGATTAGGATTTAATGCTGCATTCCTAGCGCTAGGAACCTACCAAAAATGCCTAACTTCCAAGTCTAGTCTTTTGTTTCAGTGGAAAGACTGAATCCTCTGCGTAATGAGTCCTGCTTTTGTTCTTTGACAATGCAGGAAGCCCAAACTCCTAACTTGGATGTTTCAGTTGAACTGTGAGGGATCCCACGAATGCGGCTCTTAGACCACAGAAAAAGATGGCTGGATAATTTGCAACGAGGAAATGAGGTTTAAAAAATCCGGGTTTGCGTTTTGAAATCCTGAAGATAATTATTAACATAATGGACATGAGAACACCTAACACATCTGAAATGTGAGTTTTTAAGCACGGTTCTTAGGCGTATTTTAAATAATTTTGTGACTCCGTGACAACGTTATTGTAGTTTAGAAGAATTATCTATCACTGAACACACCGTTTGGACTGAGTGGCTCAGAAAAAAACCTTTCCAGTTTTGAAGACTCAGATCTTTTACCGAGCTGGAGCCATCTCTCAGTTCCAATTGCTGCCTTTCACTGCTCAGAGAAGGGTCACAGAAATGAGCCGCTCTTTGAAATGCAGCAACCCTACAACAGAAGGATTCCTAAGAGGCTGGGCAGCTGTTAAATCCTCTCTGTATCCATGGCAGCTACACCATGACAGTCCACTAAACCCAGTTATGCTTTCCATCGCCTGGCTGCAGGGCCCCTATTCCTGGTCAGAGCATTCATTACCCGATTCCTGTAAATGCAAACCAGAATCAGAAGTAGGATCAGTCCTTCCACTGTGTCTGGGGTATTGCTCAACAGCAACTGGAGCAGTCAGCTTCCTGCATGGACCCTTCCTATGTGACCTAGTTGAGGTGATCTTGCTCTGGCAGGGGTTGCACTGGGGGATCTTTCGAGGTCCCTTCCAACTCCTCATGTTCTGTGATTCTGTGACTCTTCTTGTCTACTGTTTTTTCTTGCAATTCCCATACACAAGTTTCTAGGCTTGAATCACAGAATCCCAGAATGTGAGGAGTTGGAAGCGACCTCAAAGCTCCCCCAGTGCAACCCCTGCCAGAGCAGGGGCACCAGAGCAGTCACACAGGAACACGGCCAGGGCTTTGGGTGTCTGCACAGAAGGAGACTCCACAACCTCTCTGGGCAGCCTGGGCCATGCTCTGCACCCTCACAGCAAGAAGTTTTGCCTCTGCTGAGCTTGAACCTCCCGCCTCCCACTTTGTGCCCATTGCCCCTTGTCCTGGCATTGGACATC